CCCCCCGATGCCCCGTGGGTTCCGAACGGCCCCCCTGGGGAGGGGGGAGATCGGGGGGACCCCCTACAGCCTGTGGGTGCTGCGGGAGGGCTACAGCCACCCCCACCCCGACGGCACCCTCCGGGCCGATGCCACCGTCACCTTGGTGGCCGGGGGGGGGCCCGTCACCGCCCTGGTGGACACGGGGGGGCCCTGGGGGGGGCGAGAGCTCCTGGAGAAGCTGGCGGCCCGGGGGGTGTCCCCCGAGGACGTCACCCACCTGGTGTGCACCCACGGCCACTCCGACCACGTGGGCAACCTCAACCTCTTCCCGCTGGCCACCCTGGTGCTGGGCTACGACGTGTGTCACGGGGCCGGCTGCTACGTCCCCAACGGGTTGGCCAAGGGGCAACCTTACGTCCTTGACCCGGGTCACCTGGAGGTGGTGGCCACCCCGGGTCACACCAGGAGCCACGTCAGCCTGGTGGTGCGGGCCACCTCCCTGGGGACGGTGGTGGTGGCCGGGGACTTGTTTGAGAGGGAGGGGGACGAGGGGGAGTGGGAGGAACTGAGCGAGGACCCCCAAGAGCAGGAGAAGAGCCGGAGGCGAGTGGTGGCCATGGCCGATGTCATCGTGCCAGGGCACGGGCCACCCTTCCGGGTCATCAAGGAGTGGGGGGAGGAGGAGGAGGAGGAGGAGGAAGAAGAAGGGGCCACCACCGGAGGTGGCCATGAGGAACGTGGGGACAAGGCCAGGGGTGATGGAAGCCCTGGAGATGCCACCAAAGCATGAAAGATCCCTTGGGGACATCAGGAGACTCCTTGGGGACATCAAGAGGGACCTGGGGACACCTCCAATGGAGATGGAACCCCTGGAGATGCCACTGAGGAGAAGGAGGATGGCACTGGAGATGTACCCAAGTCATGAGAGACTCCATGGGGACATTAGAAGGGACTTGGGGACATCAGGAGACCCCCTTGGGGACATCAGGAAGGATTTGGGGACATCAGGAGGGACCTGGGGACACCTCCAATGGAGATGGAACCCCTGGAGATGTCCCCAAGGAGGAGGAGGATGGCACTGGAGATGACCCCAAGTCATGAGAGACCCCATGAGGACATCAAGAGACTCCTTGGGGACATCAGAAGGGACTTGGAGACATGAAGAGACTCCTTGGGGACATCAAGAGGGACCTGGGGACACCCCCAATGGAGATGGAACCCCAGGAGATGCCACCAAACCACAGGAGACCCCTTGGAGACCCCCCTGATGGAGATGGAACCCCTGGAGATGGACCTGGGGACACCCCCAATGGAGATGGAACCCCAGGAGATGCCACCAAAGCACGAGAGACCCCTTGGAGACACCTCCACTGGAGATGGAACCCCTGGAGATGCCACCAAGGAGGAGGAGGATGGGGCTGGAGATGTCCCCAAGCCACGAGAGACTCCTTGGGGACATCAGGAAGGACTTGGGGACATCAGGAGGGACCTGGGGACACCTCTAATGGAGATGGAACCCCTGGAGATGTCCCCAAGGAGGAGGATGATGGCACTGGAGGTGTCCCCAAGTCATGAGAGACCCCATGGGGACATCAAGAGACTCCTTGGGGACATCAAGAGGGACCTGGGGACACCCCCAATGGAGAGGGAACCCCAGGAGATGCCACCAAAGCACGAGAGACCCCTTGGAGACACCTCCAATGGAGATGGAACCCCTGGAGATGTCCCCAAGGAGGAGGATGATGGCACTGGAGATGTCCCCAAGTTGTGAGATACCCCATGAGGACATCAAGAGACTCCTTAGGGACATCAGGAGGGACTTGGGGACATGAAGAGCCTCCTTGGGGACATCAGGAGACTCCTTGGGGACATCAGGAGGGACCTGGGGACACCCCCAATGGAGATGGAACTGTGATAAATGATTTTGCCTCAAACAGGATTCCAATTAAAGTTTACAATTTATTAAAATGAATAAAGACAAGCAAACAGCGCTGGGGGCACCGGGAGTCTCCGCTCAACCAAGGCAACACACGTGCAAGTCCCGTTTTGGGTTTATATCTCTTCTGCTAATACATATTCATATAAAGGTTGGCCTATGCTAATGAGCTCCAGGGATAGGCGTGTCTTCTTTGGCGCATGCCCTCCTCACAGAATCTTCCAGGTTGGAAGGGACCTTCAAGATCA